AGTTATCATTGCTAACTATTCTAAAAGCTTAAACTATTAAATGAATGCGTGGTTTAATATCTAATTACTTAAGAGTTCCAATTCAAATATTGATGGAGAGAGATTTTCCAGATTTTTTATAATGAAAGATTTATGTTCTTAATGTGTAAAAAATAAGGGAAAAAGTCTCAAAAACCCTAAACTATACCCATTATGACGCATTTGTCTTGAAATTTTTTTTTGACATAAAAAACCCCAAATTTTTTCTCGTGACATCAAAAACTTGGAACTATATCTATTGTGACACATTTATCCCAAACTTTTTCTTGTGGTATAAAAAACCTCAAACTTGTACCTATGTGACACGTTTACCTTCCATCAAAGTTCCGTCAGATAATTTTTCAGCCAAAATAATAGTTTTTATTTCACTTAAGCCACATTGGCGCCATGTCAACACCGTTTGCTTTTCGACATTCATGTCGGCAGATTTTTAACGGTACTCATTGATGGAACCTTGACGGATGGTAAATGTGTCACATAGGTACAAGTTTGGTATTTTGATGTCACAGAAAAAAGTTTTGGCCAAAATGTGTCACAATAGGCATAGTTTTGAGTTTTTTTTAGGCCTTTTCTCGAAAAATAAAGAGGAAAAGTTTGATGATATTTTTCGGAAATTCCGACAAAAATACTTCCTCTTTCGCAAAATGAACTTGAAATTATTAAATGGAATGGGAGAGACTTACGATATTGGTTTGCATTAATCTCAACATTTAAATCATGATTTTGTTAAGTTGACAAACAAGTATAGGATAGGATTAAAATAATGGGTTTCATCTTTTAGAATAAGTATAGTATTTTATCATCCATGATTACTGATTTCCTCCTAGACAGTTTGGAGTCAAAATGGGGGAAAGATATGTTGAACAAAGCGTGCAAATAAAGCCCCAAGCTAATAGCACATCGGAAATGGGTTTTTGATATTGGTGTTGCTAAACAAAATTTGACCAACGGATCCGATGGATGATGAGTTGTAAAACTACTGGGATCTTCCGTCTCATTTAGCGTGAGATTCCTACTCGGCCCAAACGCGACCCAATCATTTAGGGTCGAGCCAACAAAGTAGATTCTTATCGATCCCCTAACCCTGACATTCTGACCTGCTCTTGATCCGACTGGAGGTAGACTTAGGTAGCGCATAATAACTGTTCTGGTTATGTCCAGAACTAGTTTTCTGTTCCCAGAAACAGTTTTGGAACAGAAACCCGTTTAGTAACGCAATATCATTTTTCTATTTCTGGGACAACTTTTTGTTCCAGAACCGATTCTGAACCAGAAATCAGAACAAAAAAAAAGTAGGTTTTCTATTTCTAGACAAAAAATGAGAATTATTTATGATAGAACTCTTTCTTCAAAACACATGTTTATCTGGAAGTCACGATCTTTGAGGTGGGAAAAAAAAAGCAAAAAATCAAAAAATTCAAAACTTCACAGAATGGTTTAGAATCTGTGGCTACCCACTTTGAGCGAAATTTAAAATTTTTTAGTTGCCGAAAAAAATAAAAAATAATAAAAATAATAAAAAATTTCAAAATTTCAAAATTTCACAAAATGGCTTAGAATACCTATGGCCACCCACTTTGAGCTAAATTTAATTTTTTTTAGATGCCAAAAAAAATAAAAAATAATCAAAAAATCTAAAATTTAAAAACTTCACAGAATGTCTTAGAATATATGTGGCCACCCAATTTGAGCGAAATTTAATTTTTTTTTAGATGTCGAAAAAATTAAAAAAAGCAAAAAATAAAAAATTTCAAAACTTCACAAAATGGCTTAGAAAACCTGTGGCCATTCACTTTGAGAGAAATTTAAATTTTTTTAGGTGCCGAAAAAAATAAAAAAATAAAAAATAAAAAACTTCACAGAATGGCTTAGAATACCTGTGGCCACCCACTTTGAGCGAAATTTAATTTTTTTTAGGTGCCGAAAAAAATTTAAAAAAGCAGAAAATAAAAAATTTCAAAACTTCACGGAATGGCTTAGAATACCTGTGGCCATCCACTTTGAGCGAAATTTAAATTTTTTTAGGTGCCAAAAAAAATAAAAAAATAAAAAATTTCAAAACTTCACCGAATGGCTTAGAATACCCGTGGCCACCCACTTTGAGCGAAATTTAATTTTTTTTAGGTGCCGAAAAAAAATAAAAATAAGCAAAAAAGAAAAAATTTCAAAACTTCATAAAATGGCTTAAAATACCTGTGGCCACCCACTTTGAGTGAAATTTTATTTTTTTTAGGTGCCAAAAAAAATAAAAAAAAGCAAAAAATCAAAAATTTCAAAACTTCACAGAATGGCTTAGAATACATGTGGCCATCCACTTTGAGTAAAATTTAATTTTCTTTAGGTGCCGAAAAAAATTAAAAAATCAAAAAAATCAAAAATACCATTTGGGCACCTAAAAAAATTAAATTTCACTAAAAGTGGGTGGCTAGAGACATTCTAAGTCATTCTGTGAAGTTTTGAAATTTTTGATTTTTTGTTTTTTTTTTCACCTCCAAAAATTAAAATTTCACTCAAAGTGGGTGGCCACAGGTATTCTAAGCCATTCTGTGAAGTTTTGAAATTTTTTAGTTTTTGAATTTTTTTGGGCACCTTAAAAAATTTAAATTTCACTCAAAGTGGCCACATGTATTCTAAACTATTATGTGAAGTTTTGAATTTTTTTATTTTTTTATTTTTTTTGGCACCTAAAAAAATTTAAATTTCACTAAAAGTGGATGGCCACAGGTATTTTAAGTCATTCTATGAAGTTTTGAAATTTTTTATTTTTTGATTTTTTTTTGAAAAAATTCAACAAATTTCCTATTTTCCCGAAATCTGAATTTTTTTTTATTTTTTGGAAATTGTGATGATTTTTTCTAGAATTTTTCAATTTTTTTGGATTTTTTGAATTTTTTTGAGATTTTTAGGAATTTTTTGGATTTTCTAATTATTTTTATTCCATTTCTAAAAAAATGGATTTTTGTTCCTGGAAATAGAATTTTGTGCTGTTTATCAAACGGGTTTTTGTTTTAGGAAATAGAAATTTTGTGCTGTTATTAAACGGGTTTCTGTTCCAGAAATAGAAATTTTTTATCGTTATCAAACAAGTTTCTTTTCTCAGAAACTCATCCTGGAACCAGAAGTAGAAAAATCTATTTCTGTTTCAGGAGCTCATTCCGGAACAAAATGGTTATCATTCGCTACCTTAATATGGTGTGGTAAATGCCCACCGGTACCTCCGAGAATGATTCTTGAATGCTTTGCAACTGCTTCTCTTTTAGAAAAGTTGGGGTGAATGAATCCATTTGTTACCCTTGTTCAATCCTTAGTTTAAGTGTGCATTTTTGCCCCCAAATCTCTGAAGGCACACCATCAATTTGGCTAGTTTCACATCCATTACATGCAGAACACAGAAGGCTAGATTGGTCCAGACCCGTCTATGCTCGTTGATCTTGCTTCTTCAGTCAGAGTTTCCAAATCTTATGCCGACACAAGTTGCCCTTTTCTTGTCACAGTCCTTTCCCATCAAACAGTGAATAATGAACCACAAGAGAGAGGATTTGGGACCAGCAATTGACAGTTCTTACTTATCCATCCAAATGTCAAAGCATTAACTTTTAAGGAAATGGGAGGTGAAAAGAAAGTGGGCACTAAAACTATCATCCTTGATGGTCATTGCGGTTGATCAGACATTGATTCATAGAGGATGTGATTGCTGCTGGAAGAAAAATTCCCTTGACTTGTAGTTGTTCTTCTCTATTTGGATCTAAACTGACTGCAACAATGGCAATTCTTTTCACTATGTCACCTAATCAATCCGTACTACAACATTAGGATCATAGGTTAGAGTGAGGACACAAGAACATGCAACTTAAGTTAATAAGCCATATGTTTGCCCATAAAAGAGGGGTGATTGTTGGTAAATAGCTGACCCCATCCACCAGCTGCACCTTTCTTTGCTAAGGTCGTCCGAGTTTGTTGTTTGCCAATTAGTGTGAAGAACTGCATAAGTGCGTGATGAACCCTTGAGTTAAAGAGGTAATCATGGCGGTTTCCTACATGAGGGTGGACCTTTAATCAAGTAAAGTGATTCAATGACACTATCAAACTCAGTATTCAATGGGAAGCCCCAGAAGCTAAACAAAAGTAAATGGGGGTAGTGCAGGAACAAGCCAAAGCTAGCATGATTAACTCTAAAACAGATAATAATCTCGTGATGCAACCGTTATGATGTCCCCATCAGTTGCGATTTCGAAAAGCCTTACTTTCCGCAGCAAATTGGTTTGCTCTCGACTTCAATAATCCATCATCAGCCAAGAAAAAAGTATCTTACATGAGAAGGCAAGTTTCAACCTTCGGGTCCATTAGAATACACCCTTTAGTAGAAAAATGGTTTGCCCGAGGAGTGATTGTCCTTACTGTGAAGGCTCATTAAATTAATTGCAAAGGGAACAAATTGTTCATATCCTACATCTGCTGTCAAACTAATTTAAACTAAGAAAGCAAGTGGTACTGCCAAAATCATGAATCACGAGATAATAAACTATTCAATAGTCGGATAATGCCCGGATAACAAGTAGATTTAATTGGTAAAAGGACTGGCATAGCATTTTAATCGGTATAGATAGACCAGGCGTTGTTCCTACATGAATATACTATTTGCCCAAGACAAGGATTAGGGAGTTCATGTGAAGATTTTGTATAGCCTTCTTTGAGTGCAATACTTTATTACAAGAACCACAACTTTCCTACAGGTAAGTCCAAATCCACATGAGGCGAGGATCCAGAAAGCAATCCATACCTTGTATAATTATCATTCGTCGAAATTTAGAAGTGACCATGAGGCATGAATAGACCTATTAAGATATTTAGATGTCAAGCCTTTAAAGCAAGTAATATAAAAAGGACAAAAACGAAAGAAAAGCTTAAGACGTGGTACAAGTAGTATAACATTACGTTCATATGGTACGCGAAAGAAAGAGAGATGCGCGAGATTCTAATACCGAGTTCAACTAGAAAAGCTTAAGACGTGGGAAAGTTTGTCTTTCCCTCTCTTCCCCACCCACAATCATATATCGAAATTTCCCAATCCTGCTCGTTGCATATTAAGACATTGTAACTGCAATGCAGGGGCATATCCTTCCATACAAAGCCCAGAGCATTCATCTCTCAGCAATCTTGCATTCTGTCTCTCTTGCTACTTAAATCCACTCCGCCATCCTCACTTCACTTCCTCATATGCAGAGGGGGTCTCTCTGATCGGTGAAGCATATCATATTGTCACTTCCCTGCTTTTTGCTATTCCACTTGGCCTGAACAACTCCGATGGAGTTCCAAAAGGTGGGGAATCAATCCCAAGATGATCACAGGAATCCCAACAAACCGCTCACGAATCCTGATCTCGTGCTGGATCTTAGCCTCTCCAACAAGGCTTCAGATCATGCGCCAAAGAGGGAAGTGACCTCCATCCATTGTTTCGAAGCGCATTCGCCTCCCAATGACGGCCCCCAAGACAATGAAACCGAGGCTCGAGTGTTCTCTTGCAACTACTGCCAGAGGAAATTCTATAGCTCACAAGCACTTGGAGGACACCAGAATGCACACAAGCGGGAGCGGACACTTGCAAAAAGAGGACAACGGATTGGTTCTGCCGCCACCGCTAATTTCGGCTATCCTTATTCGCACTTGAACCATTATTCCAGCATGGCTTCCCTACCTCTGCACGGATCATACTTCAGTAGATCGCTTGGCAATCAGGTTCACTCAATGATCCGAAAATCGCCTTATCTCTCATCGAACAATGGGTCCTCGCATGTTTTTGGTCACAGTGGCTGGTTCGGACAAGCCATTGATCAGAAACCTGCAGTCGGGTGGCTTGCACGGACTAATCCACGTGGCGGAGCCGCATTAGGATCATCCTCGGATTCTGCTAGATTGGATGGTATTCAGTTTTCTTCTGCCAGTAAGGGAATTGATGAACTATGGAGTAATGTTGGCTATCTGAAGAGCAAGCCAGATGAGATGAAGCAGATTGACTTGTCCCTCAAACTATAAGCTAGCTAGCATTGCCTTTTGCTTCTATTATCTTCAATTTGGATTTTGTTTCTTTTTAAAGTTCCAGTCCTCTAGTTAAAGTCTGTCATCAATTCTTGATGAATCTTTTTGTAAATTCTTTTACTCTCTGCAAAAGCCTCTGAGGGAAGAGGGTTGCCAAATCCAATAGGTTAGGCTGGAACTTGAACTTGTTTGAGCTGGCTGGCTTTATCTTCTGAATATTAGCTACTAGAAATAAAAGTTACAGACTACTTCCAAATCTAAATTTTCTCTTTGTGAATGCATTGAAGTTCACTTGACTTTTGAAAGGGCATTTAAGTTAATTGATTTAGTGCCTGTCCTTAGGTTACTCCTCTATGCTATTTCAAAATTTTGAATTTGAATAACCATGAAGGGTCCCAATATGGGAAGGTGGCCAAGGAAGAGGAAAGTCTCAACGCAAATGACACATTCAATTGTGTAACTTGCAGCAAGCAGAATTTGGACTCTTGCACACTTGGCTGAGGTGATTTGATGTTCTTACGCGACACAAAACTATATTGTCATGAAAAAGAAATGAAAAAACTTGATGGCAGTGATTGTCTCAAAACATCATGATACTTGACCCACTTGCAGTTGAAGAAGCTGATAGATAATTTTCTTTTTGGATCAATGAGTTAGGTGCAGTAGCCATGTGAATGAAAGGTTACATAATGATACTCAGCTATGCTATCACATCATTTTGCAATTTAAAATTTGAGTTATTACACAGTGGATGGAATAAATTTGGATATTTCATCTAATTGATTGAGTTGCCAAAAATAATTAGATTCACTTCCTTTCAAAATAACTCTCTTTTCATCTGTCTTTACTTTCGGAATAACCAAATTACTACTTCACTAATGAATTTCAATACTTTTACTCTTTTTTGCTGAAAAGAAAAATGAATAATTGTCCCACCATATTAGAATTGGTTTAATAGCTCTATTTAAGAACAATAATGGTATCTGCTTTTACATATGTAGATTTTATTCTTTCTTCCTAATGTGATATATCAACATCTTAAAAAATAACATTTCGAAGTGTCAAATTTTTTTCTATAAGTTCGAAGAGTCATCAATCTATCTATGTGTAAATTCGCAAATGATTGACTTAAGGACTAACAGTTTGCTAAACTTGGCGGAGGAATTGTGAAATATTTATATTGCCACAACTCACATTGCGAGAAGTTCTTCTTTAAAGAATGCTCATTTACAAAAAACAGTGTTGCAAGAAAGTCATTTATGTTGTGAATACTAAGAGAAAATATCATACATGTTCATGAACATTGACCACAATAAGATAGATCCGGTCCGCAATCTAATCGATTAGTTTGAATTTCCTAATTTATCCAATCGGTGGTAGAATTTGGATTTCACAGCCGGTGGATGGTATAATAGCTCTTAAGATGTTGATTTGAAATCTTGATCATTTTGATTTGTTACCCAGGAAAATCTTCAAGCATGGCCCTCTTCATAGTGGGGCCAAATCCACCTGATGTGCACACTAGATTAGTCATAATGCACCAAGATTTAATAGAATCAAAACATAATGAAGTGAAAAATCCTCTAATCATTACAGTTAATTACACCGGAAAATCTCACTTTGATGAGGACTTCAATTGAGTGGAGTGAGACACAAGTCTGAGGATATGGAAGAGACTACAGAAAGTGGTGAATCTTCACCAAAGTAACCCCTTTTTAAGTTGAGCTGTCTATTGTTTCGTGTTGGACTGCCTTAGTCTTTTCTCACTTTTGCTAATAGAAAAACTAGGGAAAGCTTTCATTTTGCCCCATGATCAAGAAACACCCAAAACCATATTTTGGAGAAAGACCTGTTGCCCAGAAAATGGAGCTATCATTTTGCTGAGATTAGGTGTGAGATAAATTAAAGCAAGGCTTTTCCTTCTCCTTTCCCCCAAAATCCTATGATTATTATAGCAAAGTAGTTTGTCCTTATTCCATTAAACTATGATGTAAAATCTTCATAAAACTTTAGATTAAGATAGACTGCATGTATGTCCCCTTCCAATTTCAGTCTAAGGTTTGGTTAGATGTAATCATGACTCAACAGTGATAAGTCACATGTACATGCTCTCTCTCTCTCCCGTGACGATGGTGGTGATTTGTTTGGGGAAAGGCCCAGTTGGGCGTACACCAATATGTGAGTCATCTTATTTCAGGTCTTTGCACACTATTTGTAACATAATCCACAACTATCTGTTTGATATATGTTTGTATCTTCTTTGATAAGCCATGTGTTAGTAATTAGGCCAATGTAAGCAATGGTGTTATTTAAGACTTCACCCCTTATTACAGGGCACAATGAAATTATGCAGACGCATTCGAATTAGTATGCCTATTCTTAAATGTGACAAAGTTATGAAAATATCATATCATATTATTGCGATATACATTTGCGTGATGAGAATACCTTAATATTTTCACAAAATAGGATCCGTGTATAAGGGCATTCCCATACTTTTGACTTAGAAACCGATAGGTATAGATTTGATTGCTGTCCTAGGAAATTCATATTTAAGTAGGTTTCACGACGATTTATTGTTTTGGTAATTCCGTTCCAGATAGCCGACTACTTACAACAGTAAATTTGTATGTTTATAGATAACTACAAGCATTAGGGGTGAGCATAGTCAGGGTAAGCGATTCTTACCTTGGAACTGGGAGCTACTCACTAAGAATTGGTTCTGAAAAATTGAAATCGAGAACCGCCCATTAGTTCTATAGACCCACTAGAGAACCGGACCGAACCAACGGTCTGATTCCCGGGTGGTTCTATGGAACTAGTCCCCCAATCCTTACAAGATTGCATTCATCAATTAATATTATAGTGAACCTAATTTTTATTTGGGTACTTCTTTACAATAGAAAATGTAAGAATAATAAAGAAACATGCATGAGACCCAAACACAAAATGGTACTGTGATTTTAAGATGAATGCTTCCTTTGGACATTTGGTTCAATCTCTTGCTGATCATCTGACATGAAATGATAGTGTGATTTTAGGATGAATGCTTCCATTTACACACACCCCAATCCGGTCCGGTCCGGTCCGAGTGGGTGGTCCATGCCTAAAACTGGGAACCGGACCGATACTCATGGGAATCACCGATCTTGGACCGGTCCGGTCCAATTCCGAGCAGTTCCTGATTTCTTTGCACACTCCTCACAGGCATGTCAGATTTTGATATTTTCAGAAGGAAACAAATAAAAAAAATTAAACAAAGTCACAGTAAAAGCTATCGTGTTTTGGTCCTTTTGAAACTGGAGGTGGTGAAATGGGCTTTTCTGTAGTATTGAGCTATTTCAATTAGATCGGGCCTGATTTCTCTCTTAAAGTAAGAGGCCATGTGAAGCACGACCCAAATCCTTGGGCCCAACGAGTCACTGAAGAAAGGGAATTGTGTTTGATTGCAAGGTATAAATTTATGATGTCCTCTTAGGATAATGTTGTTTATCTTTTACCATAATATGATCATGATTAGGCTGCTTTTTTTTTACTCATTTCAATATAGGAATCCACCTATAGGTCATGAGTAGTAGGTAGTTCATGCTTGGAAGTTGTCTCTTTCTCGTCAAAATCTAAAATCGAACAATCGATTACGATGAATTTCGTTGCCTCTCTCTCAACATCCATCTTTTGCTCTGTTTTCTTAACTACAGTCCTTAGTATCTCATTCTCCAGCATTAAGATTGTCCCCGCATTATTTGGTATCATAGTCAAGTTCACGTCCATCCTATCATTATGGAGTGAAGCCTCGCATTATTAATATTGTAAAATTTCAATTATTTTCCCCCGCCGGAAAACTTAGGAAATTTGCAAATGCTGTAGGTACACCTTATTTGTGATGCATGAGGCTAAGAAGATACCTTGCGTGCATCCAATCCTATGATTTGAACACAGAAATGCAGCAGGAGCAATGTAAAAGAGCTCATTTATCTTTTGCTATACACATTAAAGAACCTTGTCTGACGAAGAATCCCTATACAGTCAGAAAAAAAAAATGGGTCAAAAACTAGCAAAAGCTTACATGTACCATAAAGTGCGGCCTTTTGACTCGTCATCCCTTAACTTAATCTTAACCACACTATTGATAGTAAATGATGACCTTTGCTTTTAAAAAGGGGTTTTGCTGGTACAGTTTGAGCTTGATCTGAGCCCATTCTCTCTGGCACAAGCCCCCAAAATTTGCTCATAAAGGCTGGAATGCTTCAATCATATGACAGAACTTGCTTCCCCACAATGTATGTAAAAAAAAAAATATGAATTAAATCAAAGTGGTCCCTTTCCTTTTTAGTGTGCACCTAACCTCACTCTACAAATTCTCTTTTTCTCCCTTTTTTTTTTTAATTTTAAAATGTTCACAGATCATAGCAAATAATAGTTTTTAAGACACCCCCCACTGCATACCATAATGAATGCACCTTACTTTGCTTTTTATATCACGAATCTGAAGGTTTGAAAAAAATATGTATGTGTATGTATGGATGGATCCCACACAGCTAAGAATGTGGACACGAATATAAAAATCATAAGCCATTCCAGGTAATATTTATTTATGAGGATGTCCATTATTTATGAAACCAGATTTATATATGAGCCAAAGTCCAAAAAAGAAAGACCGGTGCGGCACTACTTGCCGCCGATGGAACCCCATGGAAAGAAGATTCTCATTCTCTTCTCAGATTTGAAAAAGAGCCCGAAAAGAGAACAGACAGAAAGCTAATGATTCATGTCAAGGATTGTTATTTGTGCATTGGATGATCTGGTATCGTTTCAGGAGGGTCAGTCACTAAATTCACTGAGAAGAGTAACGGTTGTTGGGCTTCGTTTCTGAAGAGGATGGACGGGTCATTATGATTGTGTTTTTTGAATTTTTGAATGGTGGGTGAGATAAGAAGATGTTGTGCAGAGGAAGTTCAACGAGTGAGTGTGTTGCTGGATCTGTCCCAGTCTACCTCAACGTGTATGATCTGACGCCCTACAATGGCTACGCCTACTGGCTCGGCCTTGGAGTTTATCATTCCGGCGTACAAGGTCAGTTTCTGCAAAGCTGAATCTCTCTCTCTCTCTCTCTCTGTTCAGGGTGCTTCCTCTTTGTTGAAACTTAGATCTAAGCTGGTGTGCTTTGAATTTGGATCACTTGGTCTTTGTGGGAAAAACCTCTTTAGACATCTGCCGGGGAGTTTGCTCTGTGTGTGTTGAGTCTCCATTACAGGTGACAGCGAGTTCATCCAAAAATGCCATCGTTCTGGAATCATATGAGATTATCTCCTGCTGTTTCTGCTACTGGGTTTTCAAGAAAAGGCTAGATGTGGACACCCAATTGAAGAATCAAAACGAATGAATGTGCGCCACATGTGTGATAGCTGTGGATATTACAAGGGTTTACTGATTCGTGATTTCATCAGTCGTCATCCTTTCAAAGTCATCGAACTTTATTCACCCATTGTATTTGCTTTCGAATGGGTTTTTTTTTTATTTTCTCTTGCTGGAATTGGAAAGTGCCAATTTTGCTCAATTTTCTGGCAATTTTGAGCCTGCAGTTCATGGGGTTGAGTATGCATTTGGAGCTCATGAGTACCCATCGACTGGGATCTTTGAAGGCGAGCCAAAACAGTGTGAAGGGTTCACGTTTAGGAAGACAATACTCATTGGGAAGACGGATATGAGTCCTGCAGAAGTTAGGGCAATGATGGAGGATCTAGCTCAGGAATACAGAGGAAATGCGTATAATCTCATCACCAAGAACTGCAACCATTTCTGCAATGATGCTTGCATTAAGCTCGCTGGAAATCCTATACCTAATTGGGTCAATCGTCTAGCCAGAATTGGTGAGAACTCTCCTTCACTTACTTTTTTTTTTTCAGGATAACACACCTGCACTAGTCAAATTCTGCAGTGATGGGTACAAAGAAAAAGTGGAAAGTGATGCGTTGCTTTGCTTTTTCTTTTTTAACTGCACCAACCTGACTCATATTGGAAGAACCTTTTGCTATTCGGTACTGGTGATGGAAATTCTGTGGCCAAAATGGTCAGCTATAGTTCGTGGTACTGCTTCCATGGTCTTTGCTTATTCATGTTTCTTTCCTGTAGGGTTTCTTTGTAACTGTGTTCTTCCAGCAAGTCTAAATACAACCAAGGTTCGGCATCACAAAGTGGAAGACAAAACTCAAGACGGAGAGAAGATGAAACTGAGGAATGGTTCGAGTAAAATTTGTTCGTCCAACTCTTCATCTAACTCTTCGTCCTCGTCTCCTAGTAGTACAGCTCGTGGCAGAAGCCGAAGCAGACGAACTCAGCCTCCATCGTCCCCGTTGATCATTCGTTCCCCCTCATAAAAAGAGATTCGTTGATTTCTTGCTCGAAATGCTGAAACACAAGCAGTCGCCAGCTTCACTGAACTTGCCGAGTACGATGCGAGGGCAGTCCATTTCAATGGTTTTTTCTTTGTCAAATTCTTTCCGTGTCATACCATACGACGCTAACAACTTTTTTGTAAGAGCAAGCAGCTCATAGTTGTACATGCCTGAATTATCAGCTGATGATTGGCTGCTGCTGCTGCCATTTGCATTCATTTCGATTCGTTTTGGTTGCCTCTGTTCTTTTAGCCCAATTTTACATGGCGGGAAAGAATGAAGCGGTTGGTTGAGAGCTTGACAAGAGCATGATCCTCCTTTGTGGAAAAGGTTGATCAGTTGTTAACAAGAAAAGAATAAGTTAGAAATCCAACGAGGCAATTTGCTTAACTCAGAATTGAGATTTTGAGAGTCAATTGGTGCCATCGGCTGGGTATGAATTTCCCGGGACAAGTTTGTCAAGGTAGGAGCAAGGGTTAGGAAAAGAGTAGGGCCAAACTGGCTTGATAATTCAAACTTGTGATTGACATAAAGCCTTGACCAAATTACTCGTTGCCTCGAGAAAAAGAAAGGGGCCACCATCACATGGCCATGTGCCCTTACTTCTCACATATTGACATTGGGAAGCAAACCCCGTTTAAGCAAAAGATCCACCTGGGTTTCCTAAAAATGGTGAAGAGTTGCTCCTTAAAGGTGGAGGAAACGAGTTTCATTGCTAACCAAGGAGGAGTGGGTCACCGAGAGGTATATCGTTGGATTTGGCAGGCCGACGGAAAGAATCGCGTGATCTAAGAGCAGGAGGTTATGCGCTACCAACACTCCACCCAGCGCACCTAAAAACCTATTGCTTCGAAAATGGGAAATAAACTGCCGATGCGGACTTCCGAAACTAAATTGCAAACCCCAAAACGGGATCGAGCTATAAAACATGGCAGAGCTTCAGAACCTTACCTCAAGTCTGTTTTTGAAGAAAAAAGAGGGAAAAGACACTGGAAATCCAAGTTTTACACGGAGTTCAAACCAAAGAAAATGTCCGGCAAAATAGAATCGAGAACAACATTATGTGCAGCTAAAGAAGAGAGAGAGAACACACAGGAGGGTCAGATTGTGTTGTGTCTGTTGATTGTCGTCTTTTCCCCAGATTTTGACCACAGATTTTGACCACGCTACGACTTTTCCTAACTGAAAATTAAAGAACGTCGTTACTGTGGAACACTATTAAACTGCCTACAGACCACGTGCGCGTTTTTCACTTATGCAGGCACGCATGACCACTAACACTGACGTTATGCAGCATAAGTTCTTCTCTTATCAGTCCTGTGAACGAACCTTGAAAATGTGCGAGTTCCCAGCACTCTTGAAAATGGATTACGGGTAGCTTTTCGAACCAAAAAGGGACCCGTGCAACCAAACCATAATTAAAGAGTTTCCACTTCGATTATGCTACTGATCACGGTACTCTGGGAAAACATTGACGAAAAAAATGTCCCCAAACAAAGAAATTCCTTGCGTACTGGTTGTCCATTTGTTAGCAAAATAAGTAACATGCTCCATTTGCAGAACTGATTCCCGCAAGACACATGCATAAGGTAAAACAACCTTGCTGCGAGTCACTCGCACTTGCAAATATCACCATTTTCATTCCTCTACCCTGTCGAAACTAATTACATGGGTGAGAAAACGTCACTCAGATCCTCTCCAGTGACGGGCCAGACGTGAAATCTTTCATATAAGCTAATTTCAGTTTCAGAGTAATTATTCATCATCACACTAGATTGGGCAACCATTATATCCTCAGTTCCAGTCCAGTGAATGCACTCAATTGGCTGGTAATAGCAATTCACTCAATTGATGACAAATAAAAAAGAAGATACTGTCACATTCTACAAAGCAGAATTCTGAAGAATGAGGTTGCCATATAGTTTACAGGTAAAAGGTAGACCCAAAGATCAAAGGAAAAGACCGACTACAAAAGCAATTCAATGTCCATTTTCACAGCAATCCTGCATACAATCAAAACACATTCACAATCAAATGATAGCCACAGTGTAAATGGCATTCATGAAGAATTATATTGATGATAATTGAAGTGTACCTAATTCAGTAATGAATGTCGTTTACAGCAGGTAATAGACAACATGTTGCTTCAGCCCTGCTTTTCTCTCATCCATTCAACGAAATTGTCTAAAATCAATGGCCAAGCAAGTTCAGGATTATAATTGCCAAAATCAGGGAAGCTTATCTGTCAAAAAAGAGAGGATCACAGAACGTAAACCTGTCAAGCACGTATAATTGTCACAATGAAAAGGTCCAACCCTGCCAAGAGTGTGAAACTCCTTATATCAAAGTAAAAGACACAAACCAATTATTGCACTTGAACTTTTTTAGGCCTACATTCCATCATCGGTTATTTTTCGCACCCATTGCCATGACTAGGGACCATCATACAAAAAGAACGTGAGAGGAGTAACATAAAAAACAAAAGGAAATGCCCACAAGAGGAGTACCTCATTGCAAAAGCGAAGAAAACCCATCCACTGATCCATGTTTATGACCTTGTAGTCGGTCTGAGTCTGCATCACCAGCAAGAACCCAGGTAAATAATCTCAGATATCAATTGATTTATTCTCTCTCATTTAAATGTTTCTGTTTCCATTGTCACTTATCAAAATGACAAAATTACCACAGGAACAAATGGAGCACACTTTGCACACAAAAAGCAAGCAAAAATTCCTAAAGTACTAAAAGCTTCTGGTCGGTTTGGGTTGACTTCTACTTTCTGCATTCTACATATCTGATGGCTCTTATCGAAATGTAGAATCATATCTACCGTTTTCATAATTTTCCAAGACTTATCATATTCTTTTTCGTTTTTAAATATTGGAAGAAAAAGGAGGAGCAATAAGTAGTTTTTGCACTTGGCCTCACAAACAAGCCCTCAAGTTGTCTCATCGTATTTGTGGGGAAAAACACCTCAAAGGAATAAAACAGACATCTGACAAATTAAGTTAACAGATTTTATACGCAGCCTCACAAGTAAAAATAAATTCCTATCTCTAGCTTAGCTTTACTTGAGGTCTATGATTTGATACTATACTGTGGGGAGGGGGGGCGATGTTACAATAATTTATGTCCTTCACTGCATAGGATAATACATCCAAAGACAATCAAAGCTTCAGAGAAATTTCGCAAACAGCAATTGAAGACATGACCGACAACATTGTACCTTTAAATACTCGACGAAGTAATCTACTTGGGCACGATACAGGGATCCGAGGACTAGATCAAGTAATTCACATATGCTCTCTATGTCAATACTCTTCTGTTTCTCCTCTGAAAGTTTTCGAAAATGTGAGTGGACGTATAATAGTTCAAATATTACAAAAACCAAGAAATACCTTCGTCATACCTGTCAGGCAATAGCGGAATGCATAGGAATGGAAATCCACAAAGTTTGATGGCCTTCTCACCTTTTCCAATTAGAATTAAAACAAAACCACAAATCATCAGTCCATTGCATGTTACATATATATTATAACACAACACTCAGTGTCCACTTTGAAGTAATAAAGAGGCTGCTCTAAGAAGCTCACCTCTTTCTCTAAATCCGGAAGAGACTTTTTCAACTTACTGACAGTATCAGCCCTCAATGATTTGAGCCCTCTACGCCACTCATCCTGCAAAATGGAATCAATTCAACTATCAAACAAACCTCCTCCTTGAAGTATTCATGCAAGGAAAACAGGAGAAGTGTCACCATATCTCATGCCATTACAAAGAACAAAGAGAAATTTTCCCACGTATCAACTAAGGTACTATAAACAAAATGGCAAACTCCGGCATCATCTGATTCAGATAAAGATACCAAACTAAATAGGCACATTAGCGTTCCACCTCTTGGTTTTGCCTAAATTCAAAGGACATCCCTTACATTTCCAAAATCACTCCACAACACTGGCAAGTCATAAGTGCCTTCACAAGAATGTTAGCAAAAGCTTAGTAGCTTAAATTACCGTCAGTCCAAGTGAGGTGAGACTGATAGGGGTACACATAGTCTGCCACGTAGGATTCCATATTGGTCGAATATTTGACTATGTAAAGCGTGGAGATTATTAGTGTTCGCATCATCAATTATCAGCACATGGGCTAAAAAAGCAATCTAAGGCACCTTGACATTTGTTGCTTTTTAATCGTCCCAGTAGCCTGATGAGTGTTGCTCTAAAGGTTTTAGAAATAAAACAGGTGCTCTTGTAACTTGAGGCGCAGCTAAGCATGTGTAATATGATTTACCCAATCAAATAAAGCATCCTACGCAATTGAAAAAACATACTATATTCATTTAAATATGAAAACTTCCTATTATCAACTAGACAATATTCTCAAAAAGCAACAAAATAAACTTCCTTCTACTCCTTGCTAGGAGACTAGAAATTACAAAGAAGAATTGATAGGTTGGTCCTCCTAGACATAGAAGGAAGACCCATAAAAAAAAAAAGTGAAACAACTAAACTGGTACAAGACATAGCATCAGTCAGAATATGTTCTTACCAAGGTGAAGTAACCCTGTCTTTCAGCTCGCATTTTCCTAATATAAATGCTTTATCAGTTTCCGAACAAAAGCCTGATACAGAAGTTAAGAAGCGTCGTGGAAATTAGCTTACCAAGCGAGCATCAATATTCTCACATCAGTGTGATCCACTTCCATGTCCGAACAAAGAGCCTCGATTCCTTCTGGGCTGTTAAAGTATGCCAAGTACTTTAGAAATATGACACCAACATGAGAAAATGATCTTGGGATTGGAAACAGTTAAATTCCAAGCAATACAAGAGAGACTATCACAAGAGAAAAAAAACTTTAAAACATACATCAATCAGCTCCAATCTCTGGTATCAACGAAAACCTATTAAAACTAAAAAAAAAAAGGGCCTCTTGGTTTTTACAAAATAGATACAGTCAATTGCTAATTATTAAAACTTAATTGCAATGCAGGCACTTAGACATACCCCATACAGCTGCGACATTACCACAACTATACTTTGAGAACCAATTATAGGCACTTAGTTATACATGCTAACACCACTACAATCCCACAAAATAACTATTTCACAAACATTATATCGATCCTTGTACCTGACTGGTACATGATTGTAGCGCCAAAGTTCACAAAGCATAGACACTACAAATTACAATTTCAAGCAACAAGATAACTCACAACACGAATCAAGAGAAGTTCTATGTGCTATGACTGTATGAGTCTCAGGGCAGGAACAAAGTAAGGGAGCAGCGGAATTACAACCCTAAAGAGAAGAGCAGCAGCCAAATTTGAAGTTGAAGAAACTAGAGAAAGGAAATTACACAAAGGCATCACATTAGTTACACCGCCCGCCAGATGAACCTACAACAACCTTAAGCACTCCATCTATGCCAAAAACGAAAATGTAAATGAAAAAAAGGCAATCAAAGATAAAGAAACTGCTCAAGTAACAAAAGCCACAGAAGAACTTAAAAGATCGCATCATGGTGTCCATCAAAGTTGCAACTTGCATGATGAGAAGATTAAAATGAAATCCAAGGAAAGCGAGCGGCGGCATGAGTGCTGCAACATGATGAAAAATGCAACCTTGACACTAGATAATTCTACACAATCTCTCCAACGCTCGGTTCAAACGCGATATCATCAATATACCCATTTGGAGCGCGCTATCCACTGACCGCGATAATTCAACTATCTTTCCAAGATCGAAAGGACACGGGAACTAAAGCCACTTACTCGATCAAACCAGAGGAGCCATCCGCGTACGCGGAGAACAGCTGATCGATCCGCTCCAGCTCTTTCGAACTCGCCTTACTCGAAGCTGAAAACATCAGATTTCACATTACTTTACCCGCCCGCTAATCAATCGCATCACCGATTCAACATCGGCGGGGGAATCCACCGCGAGCTTAAAACCAGAAAAAAAAAAAAGAAAGCGGAACGGTTTCTTCAACAATAGCCGGTAGCTGCGGTAGCATCGTTACGAGAAAAAGGTCTGGAATTTTTCGACTCCGATCACGGGAATTCGAATCACGACCGCTCCTACGAACGTTCGGGACGACGAGGAGGAGGATTGCCCCGATCAAAATCGCCGGACGACCGAACATCGATCGAAGAACACGTCGCGCGAACCGGGTTCAAGAGGAGAAGTCGAAAAGCCAAGAATCGTTCGCCGTGGACGGGAGGGATGGGGGCGTACCGGAGCGGAAGAGATCGGCGGCGGAGGAATTCAGGGACGCGGCTGACGCGGGTTGACCCGTTTTCTTCGTTGATGAGCGACGCATCCTTTCCGCTTCGCAGCCGAGGAGAAGAAAAGCGAGAGAGAGAGAGAGAGAGAGAGAGAGAGAGAGGATTTCGATGTTGCTTGGAGTCGGAGAAGGGAGGAGATGAATGGGTTGATGACGGTGGGGAAGTGGGTAACGGGTACGGACGTCGGGTCGGGTCTCGGGTCTAGAACTGGCGCTCGGTCATTCGGTTTACTTGACCACCCCTTGCTTGTGCGCCCCGTTTTGTCTGCGGACTTTGATTAAAATATCTTTAGCCAACAAATATCTAAGAAAAATAAGAATACTACTCATATTAAATAAATGACCGTAAGATAGATGGGTAATAAAATATTTTCTTTTTTTTTCAAAAAATGAAATTACTGCTTTTGATTTCGTTTGGCAAAATCATTACATAGAGTCGAACTCATGAGACTGGAATAAGACCGAGCTATTGCCGATATTTTCTCCGTAATGATACTGAACTGACTCCACTATGAAATGTTGTGCATTAAATCTTCTACTAGGAGTTTAGTTTAGCGAAACCTAGAAGATCAAAACACAATAAATAGAAATAGAGAATCAATCGGACACCAGATCTGTGTGAGTCGATGTTAACATGAGGTCAATTCCTATGGAAACCAAATGGCAGATCCACGAGCACGGCCAGATTTTGCTCATGAGCGTGAGGATGCTTCAGGCACCGATCCGCTTCTCGAATCGCAAAACCAGGAGCAAAGTGGTCTCTCGATACCGCCCGTCCGACTGAAACACATACGTAATGAAATCGAAGATAGCTTGTTTCTGTCGGGTGTGCTATCGAATGGATCTCCTTGAATGGGAAATTGCATAGTTCCCTTGCATGTCGTGTTTCTTCTACAATTAATCAGAGGCACCAAATGCCAATGCCATGTAAATCAACCAGGAAAGTCCATTCTTCCGTACAAATGGGATTGATCCATCAGCAATCAAATCTAAATGACACAGCAAGTTGCCACCGCGACGCACACTCGACATAAAAAACAAGTTGCTTCCGAATCCGCTCCAATTCTCTCCAAATATTTTTACACTGGAAGATGACTAAAAGCCAAGACCCTGTTTACATGTACAACACTCAGCTAAGCTAGAAAGTCCATACCCAGAACGAGAGAACAACTTCAAGAAGCCAACTCCGACAGATAACAAGCGTACAGGGCCACTGCATCTTGCAAATGATTCGCCTGAAGATCTTCGGGAACCGGAGCACTGCAAACATTTCTAAAGCAGCTTAGCTGAAGATCCCTTGTTGGATCCTCGGATATGTCTGATATAAGCAGACTCGAGATCTCCTCGGCCATCTTTGAGTATGCAACTCTGCAATGTTACAACAATGGAAGTCTTGAGGACACAAGAAATTTTCAACATAGACCATTTCTTATTTGTACGTGAATTTAAAGTAAGCTTTCGTCTAGTAGCACTTGACTCTGCGAGAATTCCTGGGTCAGATCATACATCAAAAAATTTTTAATGTAGTATTAGTTCTTGATAGGGAACTTTTGCCACAGCATTTTCTGCATGCAAAGGTATACCTAAAATAAAACCTGAATAGAATAACAATTACTAGATTTACTGAAGTTGGGAACTGTTTGCAAGTTGCAGCCAAAGAATGAATGTTGTTTCCCAGACATTAAGTAATCCACGAAAGCTTATAAATACTACCTTGCATTAATATTTACCAATCAAAATTTGCTTGTATAAAAATAGAATCAACTAGCAGAATTACCTAGCTTCTAGAGGTAATCTGCCTGCCCAAACCGCCAATGACTCATTTAATTGATCAAGGAAATTCTTACAGGCAGCATTTTTGCTCACAAGCGAGTCCTGTAAGAGAATGCAAAATAAATTGTCAGTACCTCTTACAAAAAGGAAAAGTAACAATTAGTGAACATTCATGATGTGGCAAGTTATTTCACCACTCCTAGAAGCAGAAATAAATGTGAGACGTATTCAATCTAACAAAATAATCTTAAACCCTCAAGGAATATAAAATATAGTGTACAAGAAAAATTTTGTTCAATTTGAAAGTTTATTGATTCCAGAGCTGAATCACAAGTGAAGAGAATGGGGCTATCTAAGTAGAGCCTAAACTAAGTGAACAATAAAACTAGAGAAACATGATCAAGCGTATCTTAGAGATATCCCACTCAAATTTAAAGATAATAAACCTAAATTAAAAGCTAGCAATTCTCGTCCAAATCTGATATAGGACGGAAACAAAATAACAACTAAATCCAGTTCCCAGTTATGTCACCTCATCTTGCCAGAGCAGCCACCTTTCACCACTAACATTCTGTTCTCAGCATGGTAATGTGACGGCCCAAAAAGTTTTGTTCCCCATAAGAGTTCCACTAAACCAGATTTCACTAACAAATAGGAAGAGGGATCAACAAACATTTTCTTTCACCTCTTGGGAAAGAAACATTCTTCTTTAAAAGGAATATCACACCATCCAAAATTGACATCTATACAATACTCATTCATCTTGCATACCTATCCAATTGAGCTCTTTCCAATTGAAGCAACTACTAACCTATGCACAATGACCATACTAAATTAGCAACAGTTTTCACAAAGAGTACACAACAACTAAAAACACCACAAGACATGATTTGCTACATCAATTTATTTGCACAATATAAGAAGGGACGTTCTACAGAGCTCAAACCAAGCACCCTGCTTCCCATTAGGAGCCTCAACTGCATTCAAATGTTTTTAGCTTAAACTGAAATATAATCAGATTTTTATTATGATGCAGTCCAAAACCAATTTATGAGAAAATGATATCCAATTACACTGGCAGATTTATATAACTATATAAATTTACTCAAACTCACCAATCCATTCATACTATCATCATCTTCCAGCAAAGCACTTTTTATTGAATAAAATGATATGTAAATCCCCGCGCCTAAGTCCCAGTTTTCAATTTCTGACTTGTGTTCCTCCATCAAAGATGCCAACCTCCATATTTCTGAATGCTTTGCTGCATAAATAAAGTCATGCAACTATGTCAGGAAGACCTATCCGTCCATGCTGATTAACTAATCAGACTTGTCTCCGACCAAAAAAAAAAACTAATATAACTTGTCAAAAACTCTAGACAGATCAAACATGAGCTATTTCTTTGAGGTGTACAAGATGGTCTTAGATGAGCACTAAATAAGCTCATCAATAAATATACTTTGAATCTCTAAAAACATGAACTTCCAAGGAAACAAAGTTGAAGCATTTCAATCCAACATGACTGATCCATAGATATATAGACATGCAACTCCTGGAAACCATCAGAAGGCTGTCATCATCATCCCCTGTAAAATTCAATGCTATAAAGATAATAGCATACTGAGCAGCAACTATATTGGGTTCCGTGTGACAATCACAGATGACACTCTTTTCGAAATTTTGGAGCTTCTTTAGAGTATTCTATAGACCATCCATTCCGCACCATTTTATTGGCCCAGGATTAAGGTTCTCATATAAGAGCATGGATCGAGAATGCTCCATTTTGCGGAATCATACCTGATAAGAATAACGAATGTGCAACTGAAGTCACAAAGATAGAGTGTGCTTTTGGCCAATTCGAACACTGAAGAAAATGCTCCAAAGATTTCAAGATGTCTCCATGGTAGTTAAAATAAACTGCCTGCAAATCACAGTGTAACATCAACACTTAAGGTCAGACAATGTTTCAGCATATGATTTAAGATTGATAGATTGTAAAAAACAGTACCAAGGAACCAAGAGATACCTTTGCCTCATGCAACCAAGCCAATGGGACACCCAACTTTTCAATAAATTGCTCCTGCGACTTTTCTGAACTCCATGTTTCACAGTATTGAAACAAAATTTCACGAATTACAGTGGCCTGTAGATATGGATAGTCCTCTTGATAAGGCATGTGAAGGACTACATAGATGGCCCAGTGACATTGGCCCAGAGAGAGCAATTGTGAAACAAGTCCCATGTCAAGAACATAAAGATCATTTACACTGAAAGCTCCAACTGCTTGAAGTAAAGCACGCTGATGCCAGATCATATGGTAGTCGAGCGGATCATTTGTCGAAGATAACGTGCTAAACATTCTCTTCAGCAAGCCAAATTCATTATCTTGATTACAATGCAGAAGCATAAGATAATATGAGAAGTCGAACCGTTCCTCCTTAGTCTGAGTCACCGACTCTCCTGCCACTCCTTCGTCAATATACACGGGGACAGGATAAGGAGCTCTTCCATTATTAAGGAGTTGCTTGTAAGTTTGAAATATAATGGGCAACGAGGAGTCCGGTGGCAGTTGGTACCACATCAATAACCCCAAAAATCTCTTCCAGTCTATTCCAATATCACGCAGAGCACCTCCAATGTTGCCAGCAAGCAATTCCAAAATTCTTACTCTATCTTTCTCGATAAAACTGAAGTCCAATCCATTAGTTCTCCAAAGATCAAGCTGTCGAGAGATGTCAGAACGGTTTACTAGGGAACCACCTGCTTGGCTGATCAAACAAGCCAACCTTACATCTCCTTTAGAAGCAGCCAGCTCCACAGCAGCATCCAGCTGTCGGCCAGTCAAAAGTAAGAACAGATGCTCTAGATAACTCGACTCACTTATTGAGCTTATTTCTGCCTGTACACGGTGGCAAACACACTCTTGCAACCAGTAACTGAACTCTGCTCTTCGAATAAGAGGAAGTGCTTCAGGGTCAACTTCAGGTGAACCATCTTTGATATCCTCCATCACATCTTCCTCATTGTCAGCACCTACTGATTTTGACTGTCCACTATTCTCTCTTTCAGAAAAAAGAACTTTTATCAACTCCCAGACCATCACCTGGTGCATCAAAATCACTTTGGCAGATGAAGACAACCCAGAAACCTCCAACTGTCTCTCCACAATATCTATGTAGTTTCGGCAAACTCCTGAAAGTGTTAAGCGGTCGCAAACCAAGTTTTGAAGCTTCAGTTTGAAAGACCCAACCTCAACTTCTTTTGTTTTGTGATTTAATGTCTCATGCAAATTCAATGTGGAATCAAAAGCCAACTCAACCAACTCCTTCCTGACTTTGTTGCTCTCATCTCTAACAGCTTTATCAATCGCAACCTTTTCTATGTGAATTGCAGAAGATAAAACCCTCCGTGAGTCCTTGCTACCCACAGGTGTACCTGAGTGGACAAGGACACCATTTGGACCCCAACCAACTCGGAATGACCTACCCATAAAAAGGCCAGCATCAACAATATTCCTCGAATAGTGTCCAGTTAAAGGGGTCTCACGCGTTGTGTCCAGCTTAAACCCATCCACTCTTGTTGCCTTCAAAGGCATATCCTTATTTTGTTGCGTCAAAAAAATGGCTCCTGCAGAGCTAGAGTCAGCAGTACGAGGTTTGTACTCGAGCAAAGGTAACGGTGTCCTCCGTGCAACCGGAGGACTCACTTTATGAGTCATTCTCTGGGTAGAGCTCTGAAAGGATGATCTTGCATAATCTTTGCTTAAGGATGACTTTCCAGGAGGTATCTCATTGACATACTCGAGCTCCTCTTCGTCATTAGGAAACATCAACATTCTCATTTCATTCATCTTTGCCGGGTCAAGGCCAAGATGGGCAGGAAGAGAATGAGAAAGGTCAGGCCCAATTGGATTAACTCGAGGTTCTTCATCAACGTCAGAAACCTCCCCAACATTTTCCATTGTGGGATCTTGAACTGCCGGGGCATCATCCATAGTGATATCTTCCTCGTCATCTTCACTCAGACCAAATCTACTAAAATGTTGAACTAAGAATTTCCATTCACATTTTGTAGAATTAAACGAAATGAAGCTGGCTCCTTGTCTTTCTGTGCTCCGTCTTAATCTTGTGACCATATCATCCAGTTGGCCCTCATCAAGTGATCCAATTTGTAGAACCAAGGTAACCTCAGCAGCTTTGTTGAGTCCTTGGCCAACCGAAGGCTTCAAGCTTTCATCTCCATATACAACTAGCTCATGCCTTCCAAACTTAACAAGTTCATTTAAATCCAACCCTCTAACATCTGTCTCTCCTAAAAACTTAACGAACCCATAACCGAACCTCCCCACTGTAAAATTCTGAACTCGACTCAAATAGCCAGGATCTCCAAACTCCCAAGTGGCTAGTTCTTCCAGGCAAGGTTCTATAAAATAATCGGAAAACTTTAAAGTAGGCAAAGGAATTTCTCTCTCACCCAAAAGCCAATTTGACAAAGAACTTGGACAATAAGATATCCTCCTTTTCTTTAGTTTTATAGAAACATCAGAGTCCGATGGCCCCACATCACTGTATACCACACAGCTTGAAGCAGAGGAGACGCCGTGTCTAGTATGGCAAATTTCATCTGAAACACCAGATGAGAACACGAGAGCCAATTATCAGGACTTAACACTATGTCGAACTTGAAGATTTTCGTAGCATAACAACAAATTGGAAAGGATGATTGTCCATTGAAAGCCATGGCCAGCAAAGGCAAAATATGAGTTAAGAATATCAAAAGTGATCAAAGATTCATGCCTTTGTAATTAACATGCCACAGACTAATGACGTCCATCAAAGAGTCCCTAATGACCATCTCTAAACAATAACAAAACCGCTCCCTCCAATGCGCTCTGCCTCATGCGAATTCAAGTCTCCTTCCATGTATTTTTAGGCATAGATTACTAGACAAACAGAAGAGGAAACAATAGAAGGATCCTCAAAATTGTTTGCTCAAATGTAAACAGACTTCTTCAAAGGAGAAAATCTCCAAGTCCTTAAGAAACTCATCCTTCAAAACTTAATTGTCCTTTCACAGGTGCTGTTGATACTTGAAGTTCAAGAACTCTTTGAGGACAAGTCACAACTATCTTACTAACCAACTTCAGTATACAGTCACAATTATTAATGCGAAATGAGGCTTTTATCATTTGTATATAAAGGGCGTATCTAGCCAGGAAACACAGGATTCACTATTCCCCGAGGTAACACAAGACAACCAACACCAAGTGATAACCCCGTGTTCCATGAAGGATCCGACGGAGTTTCATATGTATACCATCAGGGGAGTGCGGCAAAATTGAAGTAAGCCGTTATGAATCAACGAGAGGACATATAATTTATAGATGCGACAATGATTGGACCATGCAAACTAAAAACACATTTTTCTTCGATAAAGAATAAGACTATTCGACCTATATCCCGATTGCCGATGATATATATCATGACTCAGCATCCACTTCAAATGTATATCCAATTTTTGCACAGCAGAATTATGAAAATCCAAAGCTATATGTGAATTAAGTATAGTAGAAAAAAAAAACTTATACAACGCAATATACATGAATCACCCACGCCCTCGTCTCTTTCTTCTGTACAATTACATTTAGTAATCAACGTTTCCAAATTTTTCCTGAACTTTGGTTTTTGGGACGGAAAAACCACACATTTGGTTTTTGCTGTAGGCTTCATTGCCATAGTGTATCGAACGCAAGCCATGAACCAGCAATTACATCGTTAATTCACGCACTTCATCAATTAGGTAAGACGGCCCAGTGAAGCATCCATCCTTGCATCGACAGTAAGATCCGATAGATGACATGACAAAACACTAGAGCACCGAAGTGACTACTAGAATCTGAGAATCATCAAATGCTCCAATTAGTTGCAGTAGAGAGAGAGAGAGAGAGAGAGATAACTTACCGGGAGAAGGAAGGAGCGAGGTGGACGCCATTCCAACTCGGTGCCGGTCGTCTCGTGTCGCCTTGGGGGAATAGCGAATCCTGTGTTTCACATCAATATTTTGGCTGGCACCGGAGCTCGTGGACCGGAGGTGGCGTTGCCGGCACAACGAGAGAGAGAGAGAGAGAGAGAGAGGGAGGGAGGGACTTGCTAGTGGGTCGCGCCGAAGCTTGCGGAGGGTTGCGACCCGCGAGCGGACGCGCCGTCGCAGCGGGCCGCGCCGTCCGCGGCGGCGGCGGATCTCGGCGGCCGGCGGCCGGCCGACGAACGCCGAGGCGACGGAGAGAGGAAGCGCAGCGGCCGAGAGGAAAGAGAGAGAAGCAGCGCCCGCGACTGTCGACCGTCGAGCGAGAGGAGCGAGAGAGGGGAGGAGGCCGGCGGGGCGTAGGAGAACAAATGAGGTTTAGGGCATTTTGTTTTTTCTTTTTTCTCAATACACTAAAAATTCCAAACCGTCCATCAATTTTTCTTGTCGTAAAAAATGTCGAACGGTCATAATCGCGCAATAATCTTCCGCACTAATTTTCGAGTTATAAAAATCTCAAATGTGTACCATTTGTGTCGCATTTACTTCATACCAGTGGTACGAAAAAAATCTAAATTGATACACTAGCTCCTGAGGCAAAATTAATAGATTTTTCAATCTCAGTTCATTTTTTTCAATTCTGGCTTCCACATAGCGAGGTCATTTTAAAAAAAAATTATGTGGAATTTCCACTTCGAATGGACGCCATACGTTCATTGCTAGGAATATTAAACGAAAGATAATAGAATAGTAGATTTGTCAAAAGTGTAACGATTTGTAATTTTTTTTCACAACGCGAAAATCAGTCTGGCACAAATGTGATACTGATGAATCGATTCGGGATTTTTTGTGATACGAAAATTAGTTTAGAGTATATGTGACATGAGTGTACCAATTTGTGATTTTCAATGATATCAACCCTTTGTTTTTACAACTTTAATATATTTTTTATATATGTTCTCGGGCCAGGCTGGGCCATTTGGGCTTCAAGGATGTAAAATCCGAAAGATTAGCCGGGCCCGAAATGAAATTTTAAGTTTGGGCCAGGTGGCCCAGCCTGGGATATCAAATACTGGAAATTTCAAGCGGTCCGGGCTTTCGGACCACATCACATCTTTGCTCAGCTCTAATTTTAGGTAGTAGGAGCGGTTGGAAAGTTGTTTTCCAGGTACAAAAATTGAGAAGAAGACTAAGAAATCCATTGGTATCTTAACCACAAACGCCACAAATCGTTTACACGTGTTGTTTTGCTTGAAATAACGTCTATATTACTTAAAGTTAGGCCCTATTCCAGGGTCGATCCTAGAACGGTTCGGTTCGGTTCCAAAGTGGTTATTACTATGGAAACGATTGCTCCATGTGCTTTCTCGTGCGTTTTCATCCTTCCAGGAGTTTGAATAATTTTCTCCAGAAGATGTTCTAGCCAAAAAGGAAAAAAGATGTTCCAGCACCCACAAATGTTTCCCCATCGGTTGATAGACCAAATTACTGGCAGAAGTCTTCTCATGCAGTCGTCAAAATGAACTGTGATTGTGATTTTGAGGAAAATATGCACAAAGCTGCTGAAGGCGTCGTAGCAATGGACAATGAGGGAAGTTTTCTGGGAGGGAATAGGAGAAGAATTGTTGCCCTGGATGCTGAGACGGCAGAGACAAGTGTGTCGCGATCTCCCCGAACCGGCCCCGCCGCCTAGGTGGTTTGGCTAATGGATTACTAAGTTAAACCTAGCTCGAGCTCTCCCAAGCTCATACCAATTCGCGACTTAAGTTAAAGTTTTTAACATGGAAATCAATTTCACCTAAGAGTCACCACTAATCAGTTTTTTTATGGGTCGATTAGACACCCAAGCAAAGCACGGGAGAAATGTTTTATTTCTACGAACTAGAGATTCAATGGGTACGGGGACTTGATTACACTAATTGACCAACTAGTGCCCTTTCGGTACCTAATCTTGCTCAATTCACCACCTAACATGTTCACACTAACTGGGAGTCTCAAAAATTCATTCCTAACCAAGCTAAGGGAAGCAACAATCACTACATGAACCTAACTTGCATAATCAACCACATACGAGGTTAAATTAAACGCGCAATTCAAAGCGTGCGAATCAAGCGAGGAGCAATCAAATATACGTTAATCACACAAAAAGGGAGAGAAAAGCAATTCTAAAACCCAATTTCCAATTTTTGATTTTCTAAATTTTTCTAAAATTTTTTAAATTTTTTAATGTTTTTTTTTAAAATAATATTTTTTTAATATTAAAATAATAATATAATATAAAATCGGATCTGGGTCGGATCTCCACATTCGACCTGGATCGGAACTGACCCGGGCGCGCCGACCCGAGTCCACGACCGGACCGGATTCATTTATTGAGCCCAGTCTGGCAAATTAAAAAAAAGAAAAAGGGTCCGGTCCGAAATTTTTATTTAAAAAAAAAAACAAAAGCCCAGCCCAACAAGAAATAAAGCTCAAATGATAATCTAGCCCAATTCCCAACTTCGGCCCATTCGCGAAATGACCAAAGACCTAAAAAAACTATTCTAATTCTGAACTAAAAAGCCCAAAACCTAATAAAAACATAATAAATCTAAAACCAAGTCCAACACCAAACAAAACCCTAAAATCGGCCCACACACTAAACAAAAACCTTACCCGGTTGCAACCTGCGAACCCAACCCGACCATGAGCCGCTGACCCGACTCACTGGAAACCCTAATGGCCGTGACCCGCTTGTCCGACCCGACTCGCCCGAACGCTGGCCGCCGCTCCGACGTGGAGCGCGTGCTCGGCCTTCATGGCTGAGATCGTGTCTGGCCACCGCCCGCCGGACCCTGGCCTCCGCGGTCAGGGTTTCCGGTCTAGCGGCCGAGCCCATGCTCGGCCGCCACCCGCCGAGCCCCGGCCTTCGTGGCCGGGAAACTCAGCCCCTCGACCGGGCCCGGGCCCGACCGCTGCCTGCCAACCCGACCAGCCGCGTCACCACCATTGCGACCGGCGACCGACCGAGACCGTCCAAGCCCCGACGAGGGACTAGCCGGTCACGGACCAGCCAAATCCCGGCAAGGGATCGACTTTCCATTTCCTCCCACGGTCACGCCCGGACCGCCGCCCAAACCGCGAGCCTCCACAGCCACCCGAGACACCAGCCGACGACTAAGCTTCCACCCCACGCTCAGCAACGCACCCGAGACACCACAAACGAAGATAGAGACTCTACAACTCTGGAACGCATCATACACAAAGGGAGAGTAACCGGATTTCACATATGCATAACATCAAACGGTTGGAGTGCGCGACAAAAATGAGAGATTTTTGGTTCGATTGAGGCTCAAGACGGACTGAAATCATCAACACCAGACACATGAAGAAGCAGAAGCGAGCACGAGGCGTGACGGGCTGGAACTCGCGCCAACCGGACGGCCGCGAGCTCCGGCCAGTGAGCCCGAGACAGAGGAACACAACAGAAACAGGGGAAGGAGGGGGCGGCCGTTTGCGGCACTCCCTATCCGGCTCGGCGGCGGCGAACGGGGGCGACCGTGAGAGGTCGGACCAGATCTGGTCGTCTCGCGCGCCTCCGAGCCGAAATCCTCGGGAAAACACCCCGAATCAAACAAAAACAGACCGAGTAAAGTCCGACGAGGACTCAAGCCGAGACCTACCGTGAGGAACGGGGTTCACTGGGGGCTTCGCCAGCCATAGCTGGGGTGTGGCGATCACCGGTGGGAGACCCCTCAACCACTGATCTCACTCTCGAATGCTCTCGGTCTCACTTCCTCGGATCTCTCTCTCTCTCGGAACCCTCTCTCTCCCTCTCTGTTCTCTCCGATTTCTCTCTCTGTGCCCCGATTTAAGGCCGGCCAGCGGGCAGGCGTGCATGGCCCTGCCACCGCCAGCCCGCCGCGGCCGGCCGATCGCCCGACCCACAGATCACGCCGGCCCCTACACCGCTCTGCCTCTGTTCCGGCTTCTGGCTTCTGTTCCGGCTTCTGTTCTTCCTCCCCCGTACGTTCTGAAACGTTGACTGGGGAGGGGGGAGATGAACAGATGCGGGCCAGGCCGAGGGAAAGAGGGCCGGCCCTCGTGGGAAAATAAAAAGGGAGGAGAAGATTAAAATAAAAATGGGCCGCACAAAAATAAAAAGAAGAGGGAAAAAAGAATGGGCCGACGAACCTGGCCCGGAAATCTTTTTTTTTCTTGTGTCCTAATAGGCCCTATTAATGCAAATGTGCCTAATGTCTATATGCCATGTAATTTAATGAAAATATTTTTTGTTTAGTGGTTTAAACCCTAAATTTTTTATGCGATAAAACCCTAAATGATTGAGCAAAATTTATGTGTCAACAAAGTGCTATTAGAGACCGTTTGATACTGCCCCAAAGCTAGGAACTGGCATGACCTATTCATTGAATTGGATGCTTTAGCTACACATCTGAACCTCGCTTCACAGTCTTCTGATAAGAGCTAGTAAACTTGGAAAAATTGGTAATCTATACAAATAAAAATTGGTAAGCGATCGCAATAGTGTTCAAAACAACAAATTTCAAACTGGTAAGTGAGTCAAATAAGAGTTGGTATTGCTAAACTTAGTCTGCAACTCAAACGGAAACAAGTTTGGTAAGTCATGAACATTGGAGTTGGAAATTTTGTACAAGAGTCGATACATGTTGGCAAGTCCTGAAAATAAATCTCTGTAAACTATTGCAATAGCTAGTAATTTAAAAACAACCAAAT